GCCGCGGGCACCAGGGCAAACGCCGCCTCGGGCGCAGGGCTCGCCGTGGGTTCGCCGTGGTGTCGGTTTCGTCTACTTGGGCGCGCCGAGAACAAATGGCGCGGCCAAACATGTGCCAGCTCCGAGGCTGTTGACGGCTGTCGCTCTCGGTTCACGACGGTGCGGGTGATGACGATGATTCGAGGAACCAACAAACAAACGGCATAAACATAAACTTGTGGAGCTGTGGCGATAAACAAACAAACAAACGGCATAAACATAAACATAAACATAAACATAAACAAACAAACAAACAAACAAACGGCTGTCGCTCTCCGTTCACGACGGTGCGGGTGATGACGATTCGGGGTGGGCCTGCCCATCCGTCGGGCACTTCGTGTACTACCGATCTCAACCACTTTTAGCTAGCAGCGCGTTTCGGACTCTAGGTCCTCTTCTGGGCCAAAAGGCTGCGGTGTCCCACGCGCGTGCCGTGCAGCGCGCGAGCAAGGCAGCAGGAGGTCAAGAGTGCGGGGGTGAAAAGAAACCCGGGTTTTTTCACCCCCGGGCTTATTCACCCCCGCAGTCTCGACTCACGACTGCGGCGACAGCTGTCGTTGCTTCCTCTAGCAGCCCGACCGCAGAGAGCCGCGCTTGGCATCGCTCGGACGTGTGCATTTTTCCTTCGGCGAGGACCATCGAGGAGCGTCCTTGATCATTTGACGAAAATACCACGCACGAAACCGAGAGAAGCACAGGGAATGGACGTCCGAGCGATGGCCAGCGCGGCGGCGCCGCGCACGACTCCCTGGGAGCCCAAGGCCTCCACGGGTGGGGCGCCCTCGGGGGGCCGGGGGGCGGCCTGAAGAGGCGGCTTGAGGAGGAGGAGGAGGAGGAGGAGGAGGAGGAGGAGGAGAAGGGGAGGCGGAGGAGGAGGAGGAGGAGGCGAGGAGGAGGAGGAGAGGAGGAGGAGAAGGTGAGTAGGAGAGAAGGAGAGGAGGAGGAGGGGAGGTGAGGAGGAGGTAGGAGAGGAGGGAGGAGGAGGAGGAGGAGGTCGCGCACGACGCCCTCGGAGCCAGAGGCCTCCGCGGGTGGGGCGCCCTCGAGGGGCCTCGGGGCGCGGAGGCAGGCCTCCGGGGGGCGGGGCGCGGGGGGCGAGGCCTCGAGGAGCCTGTTGCGGCGGCTGCTCAGGGAAGGCTCCTTCTCGTTCTCCTCCCTCCCTCCTCCTCCTCCTCCTCCTCTCTCCATCCTCCTCCTCCTCCTCCTCCTCCTCCTCCTCTCCTCCTCTCCTCCTCCTCCTCCTGCCTCCTCCTCCTCCCTCCTCCCCTCCTCCTCCTCCTCCTCCCTCCCTCCTCCTCCCTCCTCGTCATGCTCCTCCTCTTCCTCCTCCTCCTCTGCGCCTGCTCCTCCTCCTCCTCCTCCTTTCCCTTCCCCCCCCCCTCCTCCTCCTCCCCCTCCTCCTCCTCCCACCCCTCCTCCTCACTCCTCCTCCTCCGCCTCCTCCTCCCTCCTCCTCCTCCTCCTCCTCCTCCTCCTCCTCCTCCTCCTCCTCTTCCTCCTCCTGCCTCCCGCCTCCTCCTCCTCCTCCTCCTGCTCTTCTTCTCCCCCCCTCCTCCTGCTGCTGCTCCTCCTCCTCCCCCTTCTCCTGCTCCTCCTCCTCCTCCTCCTCCTCCTCCTCCTCCTCCTCCTCCTCCTCCTCCTCCTCCTCCTCCTCCTCTCTGTTGCTGCGGCTTCTCAAGAAAGGTTCCTCCTCCTCCTGCTGCTCCTTTTCCGCTTCCCCCTCCCTGAGTACTTCTTATTATTTTCAGTATGCTCATTATGTGTTCAATCGTATTATTATTGTTAGTCGTAGTACTGTTGATATTGCAAGCTGTGTTGAAATGTATGGTTCGTCTTATTGTTGTTGCTATCTGTAGTACTAGTATTATTCCCGTTAGTTTTAGTGTTACTATTATTGATATTATTAGTATTAATATTCGTATTACTATTAGTATTATTATTCGTGTTATTATTACTTCTGTTATTATTGTTATCAGTAGTGTTGTTAGTATTGATATCATTCGTAGTATCAGTAGTATTATTATCTTCCTCCTCAGAGCGCGCCAACCCTCCCAAACGAACGAAACAATGGAAAAGCGTCCAGAACGGAAGAGAACAGCTTCCAGAATGGAAATGACAGCCTTTGTGTCGGAGCTTCTGGATCTTCCAGGCCCTTCTTGCATCTCCTTGCCTTCCAGCACCCTCATGCTCTCCTTTTCTCCTCTTCCTCTTTCGTCACCTTGCAAGCCCCCCTGAGCGAAACATGCAAAAAGGCCGTCGAATTGTTGAATTTCTCGTCTTCGTTGAGGTGTTCCAGGCCGGCCAGGGTCGCAGCTGTGTTCTATAGCAGAGTTGGAGGTAAGGCCAAAGGGGAGGAAGGCAGGGAAGGACTTTCTTTATGTCCCTACATCTTCCCTCCCCATCCTTCCTTCCCGACATCTTCCTTACAGATCCTTCCATACATACTCCCGACATCTTCCCT